TTATTCGTTACAAGTACATCTAAGTAACAAAAGAGTAGCAACATTGCTTTTTTATGCACGTCCTGCCCCTTGGACGATTTCTATTCTTTATGCATTCCTGACCAAATCAGCCAATTCAGACAAAAGCTCAACAGTCGTCGTCGGACAAGAATCAGTGCTTAAAAAATCACAATAACATTTATGGTTTTCGTTGTCGATGGTGGCCATAAGGTTGTCTATTTGTTCGGCGGATAATTTATATTTCTTTATGCACTCGTCCCTGCAACACATTTCATTACAAGCACTTCCAATTGTAATATTTCCTTCACATTTTCGAACATCATAAGTAGATTCTGGCAGTAGCAGATAAGAAGAAACTGCTTCCCTTGTAGCTTGAACTGCCAAGTGCCAACCACAACCAAAACAAAGGTGAGTCTGCTGAAACTATAAAATTTCATTTTACCTTTATTAATTTTTACCATTGATGAGAAGAAAGTGCATTTTATTTTATGGGTTTGTCTATTCTTACTTCTAAGGTACATTTTTCGAAATAATTATTAAATAATAATTGTAATTTTTTCTTGAAAATTATGAAATTTTGAATCAAAGAAACAAGTTTTGATTTTAATTCAAAATGAATCAATAAAAAACTAACATATGATATTTACTATTAAAATAAAGATTTTTTTAATTTATGCCCTTTAGGTTAAGGTTAAAAGCATATTTATTGTAACTTTTATTATTAATTTATATAAAAAAATTATGAGACTAATTACCTTTATTTTTAAGGATTTTTCTAGTATATGTCTTTTAAGGTATAGGTTAAAGGCACTTTTTTACAATAAACTTATATAAAAAAGTAAAAATAGATATTAATTTTAAAGTCAATGTCATATGAATAAATTTAATTAGACAGTTGATAAATTAAATATTATTTTGTATTTTTTCAAGACTCTTAAAGGCACATGTTATAAAAACCTTATTTTTAATATAAATGTCATGTAAAACTATTTAATTAAAAAAGTGATAAAATTTAAATTAATTTTTATTTTTATACAAATTAATAATAAAAAAATATATAATAAATGCATATTTAACTTACTTCCATATCCTTAAGATTAAAAAATTTCCTAAAACAAAAGTCCAAGAGAATGTTTAGTTTGAGAAAAGTGGAAACGAGAGAAAAC